GGAAGACTCTCACGCTCTGGGACACCATGACAGGGGGTGCTGACCACTAGTGGGGTTGCTCCCCCCTGGTGTTCCAGCAGCAGGGTGGGGGCATGGCCAGAGGCCAGCCGGCATGGGTCCCTTAGGCGAGGGGGCAGGAAAGGGTGTTATTCCCCTCTCCCTCTGGCATCTGGCAGAGGGGGCAGAAGGGGGCTTATCCTGCTGCTTGCCCCACGCAGGGAGTGATCGGTGGCCGTCGGGGTTGGCAGACCTCACTGTAGTCCCCCCGGTGGCAGAGGGGGGAATAACACCCCTCCCTTCCCCGCCCCTCACAAGGGACCATGTCGGCTGGAGTGGTGAGGAGACAGGGACCCTGGTGAGGGCAGCACCCTGCTGTCATGCTGGTCTGGAGCACCAGCTTCTTCCTGGAGGGAGGGCCATGCTACAGGTGGGGGCGGGATGAGGAGAGCTGCCATGGACTGCGTGGGGTGAGCAGTGGCGGTGCTAGGGGGGTTTGAGAGACTATGGCCTTCCCTCCAAGCCCCAGTGCTGCTGCTCGCCCCATGCAGTCTGCAGCAGCTCTGACCCCCTGCTTCTGCCCCCATCTGTAGTGCAGCCCCCATGCTGGGAAGAGGTTCCCACTCCTGGGACACCATGACAGGATGCCCATCAGGAGGCATCCAACTCTTAAAAGTGGAATATGTGGGAACTAAAATGTTTTGGAAGTTCATAACTTGCCCAAATTACAGCAGATTTCCATTAGTGAGCAAAAGGTACATCTCTTATAAGATGGGTAACTGCCAGCCAAATTTCAGCCCCTGCTCCAAATCAAGGTTTGGTAGCTTCTTGACAAAATGATTGTAAGGTCTTTCTTTTTTTGACATAGTCAAAGCAACTTATTTTTCCTGATAAAAAGCTGATTGTTTTGGTTGAAACTTTGTAATAAAATTCAGCAGAAAGCAAATTTACTAGGCATAGAGATGGTCAGCTCAAACAGTCAAAGCTTGGCAAAGTTTTGAGAACGTGAAAACAGGGTGAAAAGCTCTGGGTAGCTTTGGCAATACCTGTTGCCACCTGTGCCCACTTATATTACATGCATCTTGTTAGCAGCAAAGTTGTTTTCTTTAATAAGGTTAATCAATAAATTCTGGTCTCAATTCTATTCAGAAAGAAACTGAAGACCTCAGAGCAAGGCTGACTGTGCTAGAAGCAAGGGATCAACAATTAAGAAGAGAAATTGAAGCTCAAGATAGACTTATTCAGTTGCAGGACTGTGAACTGCCTGCCTGCCTTGGCTTTGTAAGTCTGAGAGAGCTGCAAGAAATAAGCAAGGCTTTGGATGATACTTTAGGTTCATCATGTCAAATTCCATTTAGTTTGGACCTCCCAGGAACCATAAAGAGGTATTTGCGAGTTTAAATTATTTTCTGCTACATTTTCAATTAGCCTTTTAAAATGTTATGGCTGTTATCATTTTATCAGCTGTCTTTCCTCATCATACTGCTTATATCATCTAATCAGGTTGATTTGTACATTTTCAGAATTTATGAGGATTGATGTTGCTGTTGTTCATAAATAGGTATATTTTTTAAAACTCTTCCTTCCTTTATGTTTTTCATTGTGCTCTGGTTAAGGTGTATCTAAAAAAAAATAAAAAATTCAGGCTCTTGGCACCTGATGAATAATCTGTTCATTTAGGTTTGAACCTATCCTGATTTACTTAACAACAGATATGCTTTATCCCCAGCAATGGTAGTGTGGTAAGTAACATTGATTTCTTCCAGATTTATAGCCAAATAATAAAAAGCTGTGGTCCTTGCCTCAGAGAGTTTCCATTCAAAATAGACATGGACGCAATGAGGGACTGCCTATAAGAAGGGAATGAGGGTATATTTATAAGATTTTGAGGATGCATTTATCAATGTGTGCAGGTAGATGATTTCTTGAAATATAAGTACAGCTAAGCTCGTGGACACAGTACATAAAACTTGCAGGACATCCAATTCCCATTTTCAAAAGTATCTGAAGCTTTTTAAAGTCTAAATATCCATTAATATCAGCAGCATTTCAACTGTGAAGTGTGTAAGCAACTTCTGACAATGTTATCTTATGTTTGTGTACTACCAGGACTTTATAAAAGAATCCTGGTTATAACTTTAGTTTCTAGGTAAGTATTAACATATACTAATGTGTACATTCTAAAAGCTCTTCTTTCTTTTTTTTCTTTCACATTTTCTGGGGTTGTTTATGTTTTATTAATGTTCATGAGAGGTTATGCTTTAGGGCTAGGGACAGAAGTTACACTTAAATCTGTTTAAGGGATCAGAAACTGGTTTAAACCTGTAATAGAACAGCAGTTCAGTGCACATAAATCAGTTTCAAAATGGCTGAAACTGGTTTAAGATAAACCTAGTTGAATGTAGTATTAGACTTAATTGATTTGGTCAAAATGGTGTATGAAACTTGTGTCCCAGGCCCCTTGCTGGTTCAGTTTAAATCACAGTTCTCCAGCATCCCAGCATGCTTTCCAGCCCTGGGTTGGGTTGCGCTGTCTACTCTAGCAGGGAAGGATTTGGAGGGGGGCAGGGGGAGAGGCAGGGACTGCCCCCTCCCTCCCCAAGCAAAGCCTGGCTGGGGCCAGGGAGGGGAGTTAAATCCCCCTTCCTCCGAGTACAGAGCTGCCCTGCCCTGCTAAACTTATTGCTGGCTGTGACTGTGGACTATAAATCCCAGAGGCACCTGGAAGCAGGAAGAGGAAGTGATGAGCAACCCTGCAGAGTCCTGTGGCTGTGATGCTGGAGTGCAAATCCCAGAGATCTCCAGGCAGCAGGAAGAGGAAGCGAACACAAAGCCCATGCTGGCTGTGTGCTAGAGAGCCATGCTCTAGCACCCCCTGACTTCTGGTCTGAGCCACTACAAACACGTGGCTACATTTCCTGAATCAAAAGTAAATGTGTGTCCAGTTGTTTCTCAGTTAAATCTCTGCAGTTTACACTAATCTGCAAGGACTCAATCAATTCAGCCTTGGGCGTTTTGACTGTTTGTACTTAGCCTTGATGTAGTAACATACCACAAAAGCTTTGTCTTTATTATTTGAAATTGTAATTTAGACTGTGGACAGCAGTAACCTGAATTAAGTTTTAGTCTCTAGGGCCGGGTACAGACATTATACTTTTTACCAGTATAAGTGCTTAGAAACCAGTCTATCCTTGTAACAGAACAGAAATTTGGCGCACACAACCAGTTTATACCCATAACCCTGGCAATCTTCAAAAAGTGTCTTGACATGCATCTTGCTGGGGTCCTCAGATTCCAGTTGTCTTTCCTGCCCAAGTGCAGCAGGGCTGGACCCGATGAACTGTAAGGCCCCTTCCAGCCCCTAACATCTATGAACACAAGAGAAGTTTGGCACACATAGACTGGTTTAAGAATGGCGGAACCTGGTTTAAGATTCTCCCACCTCCCCCCACTAAAGGGTGAATGTGTGTTCTGTTTGCTACCTATCTAAACTACACCACTTACAGAAAACTGTGCAACTTAGATCAATTCTGCCTTGGGCTTCTTGAATGTCTGTATCCAGCATACCCATTTTATGATTACGTGAAATTTGTCTTAGCAGCCTTTTCACCCTACACTTTTCAGAGCCTTTGCCTGGATTCTAGTTCCTTCCATTAGTCTTTTTGTTGCAACAGGAGCATGTGTAGTATTTTTTCTTTTTTCTTGCATTGTCAATAAATTACGTTTAAAAATATTAGCTAAATAATGAGTCATTACATTCCCAGAGTGTTAAATTGTTTTTTGACCAGGTTGCAATTTTATACCAATATCAGAAACAAGGTCGTCACTTTGGGGGAAAATGTATGAGGAACATTACCAGGAAATATATAACAGATGACTCTTTTGTCAGCCATCTCTATCATTTTTTATTCTTTTTCATTCTCTTTTTGAAAATAACCTTTTAGTTTCAAAATAACCTGGCCAAGTCCTGCGCTTGGTCCACTGGACTTAGGCTGAGCTCTGTGTGCTGATACTTCTGTGCAGTGTGGGAGTGGAATTCTCACTTGATCCCACTCTGCTGCTGCTTCTATCTCAACGTCAGAAGCCTTCATTCTTACTATACTTCATTTCCTGTAGTCTGAGCTGAGGTGTATTTGCATTTATCTTGCCTTGCCTCCTGTCCTTGAATCTTTCTGCTCTGTCCCAGAATCATCTGCTATATTGGTTTGGTGAAAGCTCTTGCAGGGGTGTGGGCTGCCAGGGTCCAATAGGTGCAGACTTCTAGCATGGGCTTCTGCCATTTGGGTGGGAAAATAACAATTCCCGTACCATAGGCTGGAGGTGCCCGTTTTACCCTACTTATGCTAATGAGAAAACCCTGGTGGTTCTTTGGCACTTAGAAAACTTTTGTATTCAGAAGGACAGGAGGAAGATGTGTTTCTAAAATGAATGCTGCATATTCAAGGTGAGAGGTTAGCTTGCAGACTTCTGCACTGTGAAAAAAGACTGGGGTTTTAAGTGTGAAGTAGCTCATGTGTCCCAGCCACTCGCAGAGGGAGGGTTTAGGATTGAGAGAGTGGTCGGGAGTAAAAGGTAAGAAAGGTTTATTGATTTAACAAACACACAATAAATGAAGCATAACAATACAACAATGACAGACAGTAAAATTCCAAGTTGGCAACTTATCGGAACTCCCCTTTGATGCCTAATATATGACAAGCCTCTTAAATCTAGCGAAGTCAGGTGTCCCTAATCTGCGCTGTCCAAGGGGTTACCAGGAAGGACCCTGGTATTCAGTCTGTGGCCTTCTTAAAATCCACTGGCCCACAAAATCCAGGTCAATAGCTCCTCCTTAGAGTTAGCTTCTTTTACCACGCTGCGTGTCCCTTCTGTCAATTTCCAGATGTGCTAGCAAATTTATAACTTTTGAACTATGCTGTTGGTTTTACAGCCACTCATAACCTTTATGCTGCAAAATTTCCTTATATGACTAACCAATAGCAGTACAAGCCTTTGCGTTTTCCTTTTATGATTATTTTCAGCTGTGCCATCGCTAACAAAGCTGGCCTTAACTAGGTTTAAACTTTAATTAAACTCTAAGCTATGACATACGTTTTATAATACATTAACAAATCACAGGAAACGCCTGGTCTGAACATCACAGAGTCTAGCAAGCACCTTACCACAAACAGTTTCCTTTAAGCTTTTAACTAAACTTCTTATCTGTAAACAACAGAACACCTGGTTTAGCTGTCACAGGACGCTTTAGCAAGCATTTCTTTTAAGCAGACACAACTTTTCCATAACTTTTCACTGCCACACTCATGGTCACAGTGATCATACTCAGTGTCCATTGATTGCTCTGTGTAGGCCTCACTGGAGCATGAAGCAGTATGACAGTGGATCAGTATGTATATAAACCACATAAAGCTTTGCTAACAATGTAAACTGAAGCAGGCCCCAATGATTACAAAAGTAGGCGTACCATAGAGGGCTTGCACAGAAGTGCTGGAAAAGTAGCTGGTCAGTTTTAGAGGGTGAATTGATAAGCCCAGTACAGCATCCCAAAACAAAGATCAGAGTGACCTGGAAAATGGGTATCCTTATCTGGTGGGAAGGTTGCACTAATTGGTGAGAAGTAGGAAATGGATGATGTCACCTAAAGATGTTGATGCGAACCAGGATGTATATGCTGTAAACATGATTTTGTTTTGATCAGTGTGTAAAAAGGGGTCCAGGAATCCTTAATACTTTGTACTGGGCTTAAGGATTACCAGGGCTGTGTACTGTGCTTGCAAATAACCTGGCTAGCACAATGGACCAGCTGGTTATAGGTGTTAGCAGCTATGCTTATTTGTAGACAATAAACCTGGCCAAGGTTTTTGTCACTAAGAACCAGAGCTTGTGGTCTTTATCTTGTAACAAGGAAGTCATTAGGGGCATGGCATCACAAACCGTGGACAGACCATCCAAAGTGCCTGATCCTGGCATGAGGGACTTAATCCAGTCTGCAGACTGTCCCTACAAGGCCAAAAAGTTGAGCACTGCTGGAATAATGCATCTGGCATAAATAGAAACTTTAAGACTGCTTAAATGCATTTAAAATTTATATAACTGAGAAAGTCCTTTATATTCAGTCAGCTTATTCTGAATTGATATTCCTGGGGGGATGAATTTGCATGTCAATTAAGAGAATAAAATTAGTAGAGTTTATCAGCTGCTGTTGAGCTTGGACTTCATAATTGTGGAAGTTCTTCCTTGCTGCTGTGAAAAATGTTTTGCTGGTAATGTGCATTTTATGCAAGGAAGCATTAAGAGGAAATATTTAAATTGTTTCACAATTACGTCAGATGTAGCAATGAATACATTTTTTAGCCCTTTATGACTAGAATGAATCAGCACATAA